AAAAAAAAAAAAAAAAAGAGCGTGAGAGACAGAGAGGGGGCGGGCGGGACGGAGGAGGGAAGCTAATTCCTCACACGTGGGTTAAGGGAAACTATTTTCTAGACCATCTGGCACTTGAATGTTACAGAATAAATCTGTGTAAATAATTTGCTCTTGAGTCGCTGAGAGTTAGCAACACACTGTGTGCACAGTTTAAAGTCAGAATGGTTCACAAAATAAATATGGTAACATAGATGATTAAAATTATTGCTTTTGCCTGGAAATGTTCAGCATGAATTTGGCAGCTCCACAAAACGTACGAGTGTGTCTCTGATTCGGAGAAAAGACCTCAGTCTGGTGAAAAGTGCACACAGGCGGCGATGACGCTGGTGACTCAGGGCCGCCCCTCCTCCCACCACGCAGGTCCTGCGCGGAGCTCTGCCTGCTGGGAGCTGCGGTCTCAGCCCCGGGCTTTGCTGGCTCAACACAACAATTTTGTGCTTCAAAGTCACCTTCAATTTAACTTGATTTTTAAAAAGTCACACTTGAGCCCGGCCGGCGTGGCTCAGTGGTTGAGCATCAAGCCATGAACCAAGAGGTCGCGGGTTCGATTCCCGGTCGGGGCACATGCCCGGGTTGCAGGCTCGCTCCCCAGCAGGGGGCGTGCAGGAGGCAGCCGATCCATGTTTCTCTCTCCTTGATGTTTCTATTCTCCCTCTCCCTCCCTCTGTATCAATAAAAACATTAAAAAAAAATGTCACACTGGATGCAACTAGGACCACAGGTGGCTAAGTCTGTAGGTGGGATTCACCCAACGTGTACGAACAAAAGCTGTGACGTCATCTACACACCCACACACACCTCGAACCCGCACAGCTGGGTGAATCTCTGTAAGAATTTTATACAAAAGGGGACACAGCTCCACAAAATAAAATATAATCTGACACGCTGGCTTTTTTAAATGTAAAGATCACGTTCTGAACATTTCAGCAAATGTCAGAGTGGTTCAGCCCCCGCCTCCCGCTGCTGTGTCGATAACTCATTAGCGCTCCCTGGCTGGGCTCGCTGTTCCCAGTCACCGCTGTGATCAATGCCGGAGGCAGAGCACCCAGAAGGCCCCGGCTGCCCTTCCAGTCGTTTCCCCGGACAGAGTCACAGCCTCGTCGGAGAGCGTGAACCGCTCACGGAGGACACACCTCCAGGCCCCCAGGGACTCGCTGCCCTGGGACAGGTCAGGCTCATCTGCAGATGCCCAGGCGGGGCCGGGGTGCCGTAACGCTGACGAACACCGTCCATCAAGGAGGCCTCTGAGCGGCAGGATGTCACTGTGACGTGAAGTGCAAACCACCGTCGCACGTAAACAACGAATGTAGCCCTGCCGGTGTGCTCAGTGGTTAGAGCGTCAGCCCGAGGACAGAAGGGTCCCAGGTCTGATTCCGGTCAAGGGCACGTACCTGGGTTGTAGGTTCCGTCCCCTGCCCTGGTCAGAGTGCATGCAGGAGGCAACCGATCATGTGTCTCACATCGACGTTTCTCTCTCCCTTCCACTCTCTCTAAAAGTCAATGGAAAAAATATCCTCCGGTGAGAAATAAAAAAAAACAATGAATGTGGTGAATTCCTCCACACCACCAGCAGGTTCCATGCATCCTGATTTCTTACCCTGCACTTTATTTAGGGTGCATGGCCCCCTGGCCTGGACCATCCCAACAGAGAGCCTTCCCCC